TTAATTATTTATTTTATATATTTCTCGAGTTATTTTATCAAGAAAGTGTTTATTTAAGCTTTTTATATTACAATACTAACATTTGAGTAATTTTCATAAAGATTTAAAACAGTCTTTATTCTATGTTTCATGTTAAGTAATTATAACACAATATGTTGTTCAAATTATTTAGTTTAAAATATCAATGGATATTAATACCATTTAATTCAATTATAATTCACATACAAAAATGTTAAAACCGTTAATGTATTGATGTTATATCGTTGTATCAAGCTCTATCACTTGTTTATATAAGATAATAAAAAATTATTGAACAATTAAAAATCAGTTACATCATATATTCAAACAATCAATTTATTTAATATGAATAACAAAAACAATAAATTGTGATAACATTCAAACATTGTAATTGACTATTAGATTTTTTATTATTGGTGTTACAATTTATAAATGTTATAAACATGTTATAATCAATAATTTAAATCATATAACAAACAATCATAAATGATTTACTATAACGATATGATATATAATACTACATTTTATTAGTACAATATGTTTTTTCTTTTTTCTTTAATTTTAATAGTTCTGTATTTAGATGATGAAAAATGCACATTTTACACATAGATAATGATTTTGTATTATAGATTATTTACGATTGAATATACTATTTCAATTTTTTTCACGTTTTTTTTCTTAAAAAAATATTTAAATAAAAAATAGCAGAGGACTTTCATTGTTGTGTTAATTGTAACTAACTAGCTACGGAGATGTATCCAAAGTGTCCGCAAGATCAACAGAAACGCTTTGCCTTCAATCAATACAAATTCCCTGTTCACATAACTCAATTGCGGTTTTTATATTCATTTGTAAAAATAATTATTTTCATTTCTATATTTTTTTAAAAAAAATAAATAATCATTTGAATGTAAAATAATTAATATATTTTGATTATATATACAGTGGTGGTATAAACCCACTTAATTTGAAATAAACCCACTTAAGTGAGTAAATTTTGTGAAACTTTGGTTGAACTTTAAGCCAAAACAGAAAAAAATTAAGTACCACCATTTATAAATAGGAAAATGGTTTTGATTGGGTCTTTTCTTTGTTTTTTGAGAAAAAAGTCGATTTTGCTAGAGGAAAAAAATATTTGAAATGGTTTTTCATTATAATTAAAATAAACTTTAAATATAGCTTTTGTTTTTTACAAAATTCGTTTCGAAAATTATTTTCTCTTGACAATAAGAAGCTCAAAAAAGGTTCAAAAAGTGAAAATAATAACAACAACGAGCACAATAAACAAGCTTAAAAATAAAAGTTGGATTGAATTTGTGGTCTTATTGTGTACATTAGTTCAATGATTGTTTTTGAACATATAACATTTAAAAATATTTCATAAAAATTGTTGTTAAGATTCAAATAAAGATGATAGAAAAATAAAAAACACAACCAAGTGAATTGAAAAAGATGATAATTTAAACAAAAACAATTACAAAAAACACATTTAAGGTATAATTAGTTAAAAAACGAGATAATTCAAATAATTGAGTTTTTGAAATTAAGATCGAATCGATTATTTTTAATTTTATAAACTTCAAAGTCGGTATTTTTAAATTAAACTTTTGATTTTTTGTTGAAAACTGTTTTTAAGAAACATTTAAATCAAAAAAAATAAGTTACATTTTGTGTAAATAGTAAAATGTGGTTTTTTACACAAAAATGTAAAAATCGTACACTTTTTGGTCAAATACCAAATGAATTTCGGATTCGACAAGTTTTCCACTCAAAGCATTAAAAACAGTGTTTAAACTTGAAAAGGACTTAAAAAATCATAAAGTCTTCACCAGAACAAATCAACATATAGCCCAAGTTTTGCAAATGTTATGAAATAAATTTAAATTAATTATTTTTTCTTTTTAGTTTTTTTTGTTATTAAAATGTTATTTTTTTAAAAAAATAATTTGTTATTATAAAAATGTTTTTGTCTTATAACATAATTTCAGTTTTTTTATTTTTTTTTGTTATTTCCAAAAATAAAACCAAAATTTACTTACTTAACACCTAAGACTCCAGAAAAAAAAGAAAAAAGAAAAACATTTTTCAAAAAAATGTTTTCAATTTTAATTTTTCAATTTGAATTTAAAGCTCCAGTTTACTCTAAAATGTCTACAATTGTAGACAAATAACAATTTAAATAACAAAAACACTCATTTATTTTAACAAACGTTCTCCAAGCACTTTTTGTAAACCACAACAAAAAAAACACAGTTTTTTGTTTCGATTAGCAAATGCTAAACAAATGTTATTGCGAACAAATTTTGAACATTTTTGGTACTTTTTCGATAAGCACGTTTTTTGGGCTATTAAGCGTTTATTTTATTAACGATATTTTTATCATTAATACACTATCTTGAAAAGTGAGTTAACAGCTTTAAACTCGATACTACATTGTTTACTTTCACTTTATTACATTTGTTTTTGTTTTTGTATAAAGTTTCCAAAAGCAACAGATAATACGAAAGTAACGTTTCTTGTTAATATATTTATTTGTTTTCAATTGTGGTTTGTCCAAAAACTTCATTTAAATAGTTTCATTTTCAATATCAATTTCTTGAAACAACATATAATAATAATAAATAGTTTCGATTATATATTTATTGACTGAAAAATAAAGTGTTGTTGCTTGGCATTGTACGTGTGGTGGTATTTTTTATTTAAAAAACATTGATAAAAGATAATAATTGTAAATCATTTACAAAATTGTCAATTGTTTTGTTATATTTTCCCGATTATTTAAATTTTAATAGACTGTCCACAATTGCAGACATTTTGAACCAAACTGGAGTCTTAGGTGTTAAACTAAAAATTTGGACATGTTGTTTCAAATAAAAGAAAATAGAGTGATATATAACAGGTATGGTAAAACCCCATCAAAATGTTCAAAATACCTCTCGCTTCAAGGAAAAATAATAACGACGTTATCCCAACAAGTATGAAATAAAAATGGGTTAATAACAAGTGTTATGTAACAAAAAGAAAAACAACAAATATAACAACAAATTACATTTGTTTGTATCTGTTCAAAAACCGATTATAACAAGTCATGGTTCGTGTAAAACCGAAAGAAGTGACATCGAAGAATAAGTTTGTTGAACAAGTTTGAGTATTATGTTTGCAATCTTTATTAATAAATTTCGTTTTTTAATATAAAATATTTTGTAATTTTAATTAATTAATTGCCAATTTGAAGGTTTCAGATAATTAAAACGGTTTAGTACATACATAAAGTGTTCATAAAAAATAACAAATAATAAGTTATATTTTTAAGATTCTTTAACACATTTTAGATTATTTGAAATGGCCTATTTTAGGAACACATTCTAAAAATCCATTATATTTTTCGAAATTTTCCTTGTTGCAAAATGTCTGTTGTTTACATTAAAATTGGCTTTTTTCTTATATTAGATAACATTTTCAAATTGGTTTAAATATTCAAATTTAACAATATAATAAATCATTATTAATGAAATACGAAATAATATGGATATATTGTTTTCAAACAAAAGATTTGGAATTTTGGAAACATTCATAAACAAAATGTTTCTGTAAGAACATATTAATTTTATATAATTTTGTGTTGAAATCTCAATTATTATAATAATGAAGATTATTATTTCTGTTATTATTATTTTAAATTTCTCGGTGTTTGTGAGTTCGATAGAGTGCTACTGTAAAATAGGTTGGGAAGGCGCTTGTTCTGCCTGTAGTGCAGGATGTACCTCTCAGAACTGGCGTTGTGTTGGTTTGTTTTTATTACAAATGAACCAACTCATGATTAGCTTGTAATGACTCGTGTACAAGTTGTAATGGTGGTGCAAACAAATGCAATGGGTGTGTACCAGGTTATTATCTTCAAAGTGGAGATAAATCACCATGTTTATGTTTGTTTTTATTTGTTTAATTTTAATAATTAACGACCAGTGTGTTCAGACAAATTTGGAGAAAATTGCTTGGAATGTGATAGAAATAGTGGGTGTAAAAAATGTGAAAATGGGTATCAGTTGATCAATAAAACAACACAAAAATGTGGAGATTTCAATGAAGGATGCACACTCTGTTCAAACAACATTTGCAGTCAGTGTTCCGAAGGATATTATCTCGACTCTACCAAAAATTTATGTGTGAAGTGCAACAACAAATTTTCAAAATGCTCACTTTGTTCTGAGAGTGAATGTTATGTGTGTGGCGATAACTCGACACTGTCAAACAAAGTGTGCGTTGAATGCAATCAAAGATGGGAAGGATGTGTTGGATGCAACGACATTATG